AGAAAACAACCAGAGTCTTTCTAGCCTCTCCTTATAGTTCATATCCTCTAATCCAGGCAGCTTCCTGGTAAACCTCTTCTGCATTCTCTCCAAAGCCTCCATATACTTCCTGTAATGTGGTGACCACAATTGAACACAATACTCTAACTGTAGCCACTTGTACTCAATTCCCCGACCAATAAAGGCAAGCATGCCATACACCTTCTTTACCACCCTATCTACTTGCATGGCCAGTTTCAGGGAGCTATGGACTTGAAACCGAAGATCCCTCTGTACATCAGAGTTCAGGCTCCTGCTATTAACTGTGTACTTTTCTTTAACATTTGATCTCCCAAAGTGCAGCACCTCACACTGACCTGGATTAAACTCCATCTGCCATTTCTCTGCCCATATCTGCAACTCTTCTGTATCCTTTTACACTATACACAACTCCACTGATCTTGGAGTCATCTGCAAACTTACTAACCCACCCACCTACATTTTCATCCAAATACATCACAAATAGCACTCGGCCCAGTACGGATCCCTGCAGAACACCATTAGTCACAGACCTGTATTTAATCCAGACAAATGTAAGGTGATGCATTTTGGAAGGTCTAATGCAGGCAGGAAGTATACAGTAAATAGCAGAATGCTGAGCAGTATCAACATAGAGGGATTGAGGCATACAGGTCCACAGTTCCCTGAAAGTGGCAGCACAAGTGGATGAGGTGGTTAAGAAGGGCTATGGCATGCTTGCCTTCATCATTCAGGGCACAGAGTATAGAAACTGGCAAGAATGCTGTAGCTGTATAAAAATTTAGTTAGGCCACATTTGGAATATTGTGTACTGTTCAGGTTGCCACACCACCAGGAGGATGTGAAGTCTTTGGAGAGGGTACAGAAGCAGTTTGTACTGATGATACCTGGTTTGGTATCATCTACGAGGAGAAATTGGACAACATGGTCTGCTTTCACCTGACTGCCAGAGGATGAGGAGCTACCTGATCGAAGTTTACAAAATGATGGACAGAATGTACAGAGTTTTATTCCCACGGTAGAAATTACTACAATCAAGAGGGAACACAGGTTTAAGGTAAAAAGGGGTAAGTTTACGGGGATGACAGGCAAGTGCTTTTTTTTTAATATAAGCACAGAGGGTGGTAAGTGCCTGGAATGTGCTGCCATTCGACCTCAGCAGGGGTCTTCCCCAGGCCCTGGCCCAGCGATGAGGTGATACCCAACAGCCCGGAATGGAGCCTGGCCGGGTGGGTTCCTGGTATGGCAATCTCAGCCTGGAGTGGCGTTCTTATCCCAGTATGAAGTCTTGTCCTGTCTTGGAGGTTTTTCTTTGGCAGCTTCCAGGTATTCCAGCAGCCTGGCATAGAGGTTTACTCTTGACGCAGTGGTCTCTGCCCAGTTTTCCAGTGTACCCCAAAACCTGCAGTCATTAACTGAACGGAGATGGAACTTTACCTCATTTTTCTTCTTATTTATGACTTCTGTCATTAATTTATGCGCCATGGAATGGTGACTTATAAAACGCTTCACTTTTTTTGTAAAAATACTTGTGATAATAAATTGCTATTCCATTCTATTTAGAGGCAGTGGTGTTTGATATACTTGCAATATTTTACAAGCATCTTGACAGAGACACGAATAGGAGGCAATAGAGGGATACGGACTGCATCAAGTCAAAAGGTTTTCAGTTTCGAAAGGCATCACATGTTGGTACCGCATTGGTGTGCTGAAGAGCCTGTTCCTGTGCTGTATAGTTCTTTATTCAATGAAACTCCCTCTGACTCCCTGCTGGGTCAGTCCTGCTGATAGGACACGACATATCCTCTATCACTGCTGCAGGTGTCAGATCAGTCTTCTTGAGAGCAGACCAGAGGAAAGCGACTGGCCCAGATGGAGTTCGCAGCCACGTGCACAGACCCTGTGTGGACCAGCTGGCAGAGGTATTATGTTTTGCTGACATTGGGAGAGAGAGATTGTTATCAACAAGCACACTATCTCCTTACTGTATTCTGATTCATTGTTGTTTGATATCCATCCTGCCAGGGTGGTGTCATCAGCAAACTTGTAGATGGCATTTGTTCGGAATTTGGCAGCACAGTCGTGGGTGTACACAGAGTACAGTGGGGGGCAGAGGACCCATCCTTGGTGGGGGGGGCTCCAGTGGGTGTTGAGTGTTATTGTGGAGGAGGTGCCGTTACCTATCCTCACTGATTGTGATCTGTGGGTCAGAAAGCTGAGGATCCAGCTGCAGAGGGTGGGGCAGAGGTAATCACTGACATCTTTAACCTCTCCTTGCTACAATCTGAAGTCCCTACCTACTTCTAGAAAACCCTCGTCCCAGTACCAAATAAAACACATGCAAACATGCCTCAACAACTTCCACCCAGTGGCTCTGACATCCATAATCATGAAGTGCTTAGAGAGACTGGTCATGGCCCACATCAACTCCAGTCTCCCAGCCTGCCTCGATCCCCTGCAATTTGCCTATAAACGTAACAGGTCCACAGCGGATTTCATATCCTTAGCCCTACACTTCCCTGGAACATCTGGATAACAAGGACATCTACGCCAGGCTCCTACTCATTGACTACAGCTCCAGCTTCAACACCATTATCCCCTCCAGACTAATCTCAAAATTCTGAGACCTAGGTCCGCCCTCTGCAACTGGATCCTCAGCTTTCTGACCCACAGAACGCAATCAGTGAGGATAGGTAAGTGCACCTCGTCCACAATAACACTCAACACCCACTGGAGCCGCCCTAAGGATGCGTCCTCAGCTCCCCACTGTACTCCCTGTACACCCATGACTGTGCTGCCAAATTCCAAACAAATGCCATCTACAAGTTTGCTGATGACACCACCGTGGCAGGATGGATACCAAACAACAATGAGTCAGAATACAGGAAGGAGATAGTGTGCTTGTTGTTGCAGTGCAATGATAACAATTTCTCTCTCTCAATGTCAGCAAAACAAAATAACTGATCATTAACTTCAGGAACAAAGGAGGAGGACATGCCCCCATCTACATCAACGGAGCGGAGGTGGAGAGGGTTGAGAGCGTTAAGTTGCTTGGAGTGATGATAACCAACAATCTGACCTGGACCTAGATGTGATGGTCAACAAGGTACAACAATGCCTCTTCTTCCGCGCAAGGCTTAGGAAATTCAGCATGTCCATAAGGACCCTCACCAATTTTTACAGATGCACAATAGGACACATTCTGAGTTTATAAAGGATTGGTCCAGCAACTGCTCTGCCCAAGATTGTAAGAAACTACAGAAAGTTGTGTGCACAGCCCAGATCATCACAAAGCCAACCTCCCATCCATGGACTCCAGCTACACTTTTTGTTGATGTTGGCAGCCTTTCCACAGCAAAGACCCCTCCCACCCTGGTAATGCTCTCTTCAAACCTCTTCTGTCAGGCAGAAGATAAAGAAGCATGAACACACACATCAGCAGGTTCAAGAACAGCTTCTTCCCTGCTGTTATTAGACTGCTGAATGGACTCTCTAATTTCAAACCTATTGTTGATCTTGCTTTGTGCACCTTCTATGCAGTAGTAACTTTGTATGCTTCACTCTGTCTAAGTGCCCTATGATCTGTATGTCCTTGTTTGCTATGATCTGCCTGTACTTCTTGCAAAGCAAAGATTTTCACTGTACTTATGTACGTGACCACAATAAATCAAATCAAATTAAATGTCCAGGGATAGTGATGGCAGTGTCTAGGGTATTCAATTTCTTACTGTCTGATGTGCTGATCTAACTTCCTCTTCAACTATGTCAGTGTCAGCAGGCACCACACACACTCTCTTGTCTTTGGCTGGGCAGGGTTCTTCTGAATTCCACACTGGAGTTATTAATGACTGTCTTAGGGCAATGACTTCTCTAGCTTTGGTCCCACACACCGAAAGCATTGCACGTCAGGCACCTTCTTAAACTCTTCTTGAATTTTTAAGTTTTCTATTTGGCTTTTCCTCTCTTTTGCAGCTTGATCAGTCACAACTTATATGAGCAGTATCCTCCAGAGTCAAATGTGATTGATGTGTAAAGTTCTCGATATTGGTGTACCCAGGAGCGGGAGAGATGCAGCAGACGCTGGATCTTCTGTAACCTCTGCCCCCTCAGTCAAACATTCCTGATCCTGATACCCGAGGTTCGAAGCACGTTGCTGCTCTGTTCTGCTGATATGTGACTGACAGAGTTCTTGGCTATTCCCTAATCTCCGTGTAAATCCTTTGGGAGATTCTGGCTGGATTCCTCTCTTACAGATCAGAGACGACACGAGCAGTTGTTAGCTTCTAACTGCTACAGTCCCAGATCCCTGAAATTCTCCAGGTTTGTACAAATAGAATAGAATATCCTCTATTGTCACATGATGGGGACTCAAGGGAGTTATGATGCCTGTGATCTCCGTGTAGAGAGAATCCTGAACTGATTGCTAAATGCCAGGGCTAAAACCAGCAGGAACATCAGAGATAGGCACTGTTCATTCTCAAAGTTTGTTTTCAAATGGTATCAAACATGGAGGAAGCAGCTCAGTGGATGACACAACCAAGCAAGGCAGTGGCTCAAACACACCCCCAGGCAGTCTTTTCACTGGCAGCACAGCTGAGGCAGGCTTTTCTTATTATGTACACCACTCGAACATGTCTGCCCAGCTTCCAGGGTGACAGGCACTATTCACTCGTCTGCCAGGTCCTCACCCAACAGCCACACACACACATACCCCCAAACCCCACCTAGCCAATCCAAAGCACCCATAGCTCGCGCTACCTGTCAGACCAAATCAAAGCCTCAGCATTAAGAGTGGACTAGGAGCAGGAGTAGGCTATTCAGCCCTTTGAAGCTGCTTTGACTTTCAAGAAGAATATGGCTGACCTGTGATGACCTGACATCAGTGACTGGCCAAAATGAGGGAAGTTCTTTGATGCCATGATGCATAAGGCAGGAAGGTAGACTTGAGGGTCATCAGATCAGCCAAGATCTCAATGAATGGTGCAGCAGACTCGATGAGCTGAATGGTGTACTTCTGCTCCTATATCAAATGGTCTTAAAGGTAAATCACCAACTTCAGGAAAAGTTCTCACCACTTTCTCCAGCTGCTCTTGCTCCCATAATGATGACTCACGAACCATCTCAATTTCCTGGAAAAAATAACAAACGTAAGGAGCAGGGACATAGGCATGATAGAGATACTGAAAGAGGCAGAGCAGGAAGGCAAAGAGACAGACAGAAAGTGTGATAACTTAAGAAATAGGAACACTCGGCCCTTCAGCTGGTTGAACCTGTTCTGCCATTCCGCCACTGCAGCTAGTCACTGCATCTCAGCTGCACTTTCCTGTCTGACCCTACCCCCCTCACACCTCTATTGCTGTGGACTCCCTTACTTAGTCTGATTAAACATATTCAATCATCCAACTTCCACCACTCTCTGGGAAGAGACTGCTAAATAGCTTGACGCTCTGAGGGAGGAATTCCCCACCTGGGTCTGATATGGAGACTCCTTATTATGAAACAATGCTGCTGTGTCTAGATGCCCCTGAGGAATGATATTCAACCCATCTGCCCTCACAAAGTCTATGCTTCAAGAAGATTCTCATTCTTCTGCACTCCAATGTATAGGTTCAGCACATACAAACAAAAGCCCCTTCATCCCAGGAATCAGGTGAGTCGACTTTCTCAGAAATGCTTTCAATGCACTTACATTCCTCTTTAAAACCATACAGAGAACTCCAGATGTGTTCGCACCAATGTTCCAAACAGGTATCGCAAGACATCCTGACATCTTCACAATTTTTCAAGAAAAGTGGCCACAGGATCTGGGTGGTGCTGGCTGGGCCAGCGTTTGTTTCCTGCCCCTAGTTGCCTTTGAGAAGATGGTAGTGAGCTGCCTTCTTGAACCACATGCTGTGGGTTGACCCACAAAGCCCTGAGGGAGAGAATTCAAGGATTGTGACCCAGCGACAGTGAAGGAACGGCAATATATTTCCAACTCAGGATGATGAGTGGTCTGGAGGTGAACTGGCAGGGGGTGGCGTTCCCATGTACCTGCTGCCCCTGTCCTTCTAGATGGGAGTGGTCGTGGGTTTGGAAGGTGCTGTCTGAGGATCTTTGGTGAATTTCTGCAGAGCATCTTGTAGATAGTACATACTGCTGCTACTGAGCGTCGGTGATGGAGGGAGTGAATGCTTGTGGATATGGTGCCAATCAAGCCGGCTGCTTTGTCCTGGATGGTGTCAAGCTTCTTGAGGTGTTGTTGGGGCTGCACTCATCCAGGCAAGTGGGGAGTATTCCATCACACTCCTGACTTGTGCCTTGTAGATGGTGGGCAGGCTCTGGGGAGTCGGGTGGTTATTTACTAACTGCAAGATTTCCAGCTTCTGACTCATTCATGTAGCCATATTATTTCAATGCTGAATTCAGTCGAGTTTCTGGTCAATGTCAACCCTCAGGATGTTGACAGAGGGAGATTCAATGATGGTTATTTCTTTATTGTCAAGAAGCGCTAGTTAGATTCTCTTGTTGGAAATAGAAATTGTTTGGCATTTGTGTGGTACAAATATCACTTGCCACTTGTCAGCCCAAACCTAGATATTGTTCATACATTGTAGCATTTGAACAGGGACTGCTTCAGTATCTGAGGAGTCACGAATGGTGCTGAACATTGTGCAATCGTCAGTGAACATCCCCACTTCTGACCTTATGATGGAGGGAAGGTCATTGCTGAAGCAGCTGAAAATGGTTGGGCCAAGGACACTACCCTGAGGAACTCCTGCAGAGGTGTCCTAGAGCTGGGATGATTGAAAGAACTGTGGATGCTGGAAATCTGAAACAAAAGTAGAAATTGCTGGAACAACCCAGCAGGTTTGGCAGTGCTTGTGGACAGAAAGCAGCATTAACGTTTCAAATCTAGTGACCCTTCTTCAGAACTGAAGGTTGTCCATCCTGAAACAATTCTGCTCCTCACTCCAACAGGATTTCCTTTCCAATCATCCTTCCTGTTCACCATCTTTACTATCAGCGCTCCTACTGTTTGGTATAACATTTGCCAACACTCACTTCCACATCTACATCTCATTCCTCAGTGACTGCCCCCAGCTCAGACTCACCCAACGTGGATTCTAAATTAAGTTTCAACCTTTGTGTTTCAAATTCACCCAAGATCACAGGTATTGTTGTGATATTCAACACTCCTCAAGCAGTTGGTCCCATCACATCCTGAGATCCACTCAGTGCCATGCACCATCACAGGCACACTCTCAACCCCTCTCTCCATCAGCCCCACCTCACACTATCTCAGAGTTGGCCCAAGTCCATAACCATCTTCCTTTGTTTTTTTTCCCTTTATTCATTCACGGGATGAGACACATCGCTGGCCAAGCAGCATATATTGCCCATCCATAATTGCCCAGACAGCAGTTCAGAGTCAATCACATTGCTGGGGGTTTGGAGTCACATGTCGGCCAGACCAGGTGAGGATGGCAGTTTCCTTCCCTAAAGGACATTAGTGACCCAGATGGGTTTTTCCAACAATCGACAATGGATTCATAGTCTTCATTAGACTCTTAATTCCAGATATTTATTGAATTCAAATTCCACCATTTGCTGTGACAGCATTTGAACCCGGGTCCCCAGAACATTCTCTGGATTAACAGTCCAGTGATAGTACCACTAGGCCATCGCCTCCTTTGTGGCAGATATGACACCAACCAGCAAAGATTTTCCCTGATTCCCATTTTGTTGTAGCTCCTTGATGGCACAATGCCAAGGGTGGTTACCATCACGTCATCTTTGGAATTCAGCTCTTTTCTCCATGTTTGGACCAAGTAACGAGGTCAGAAGCTGAGTGGCCCTGGCAGAACCCAAACCGGATGCCAGTGAGCAGGCTATTGTTCTTACAGTCACCATCATGGCCAGATGCATCTGTAGCTGGCAAACTGATGAAGATGAGGTTGAGTATGTTTTTCCCTCTTGTTGGTTCCCTCACCACCTGCCGCAGACCCAGTCTAGCAGCCATGTCCTTTAGGACCTGACCAGCTTGATCTGTAGTACTGCTGCTGTGCCACTCTTGTTGATCAACACCGAAGACATCACCTCACCTGAAGTCTGGGTGGAATGGATGAGAAGAGGCAGTGTGGTTGTCAGCAGGACTTCTCTTGGGCCATGTTTAACCTGTTGCTAAGAGACTCCATGCACCACTCAATGACAACCAACAGTTAACTGCTGATATAGCAAGAATTGCAGATGCTAGAGTCAGAGCCAATACAGTGAGAAGTTGGATGATGTCCTGATCCAAAATGGCAACTTTGCTGCTCCTCTGATGCTGCCTGACCTGTTATGTTCCTCCAGCTCCACACTGTATTGACAATTAACTGCTGAGCACTGTTTAAATTTTAAACAAACAGGTCAGCTGCTTGGCCAAGGCATTGTCCTGAGAAATGTAACAGAAAATGGCAGTAATCTATTTTGACGTGTTTAATTGGTTGCAGCATGTGCACATTGTCTGTTCACAAAGGATGGGACCCTGTTAATATACACAAATGTGCTATGGTGCATGCTCAGCTGATGGTGTGAAATACTGATTACATCATTTCTCACTGTATATCATGCAACTCATAATGGGCTCATGGACATCATGTTTGGCTCTGAACAGTGCAGTCTACCTCAGATAACCCAGGAAGACCAAAGGAGATTAAACATTTTTGAAATTGCAGTTACATGCTATTACTTTAAATGAGCAACACAAGTGGTATTCACCACAGACAGGAAGCCGCTGTCAATTTGAAGAGAAGTTCTGCCGAACACAAAATGGGTAATGTGGCATATAAATATCAGCACCAGTGTGATGCCAGGCTGTATGCGCCAAAGGCTGCAAACCATATCAAACAGTATGCCCCTTTAGGTGCTCGCAGCAAAGCCCTGACCATACATACCCAGCCTGCAATTACAAAACTCAACACAACGTCTAACATTCGGTGATTTCACAATTTGACATTTGTTAACGAAGCCCAAACAATTTTGCTGACAATCAATTTAAGATTATCAGTCAGTCAGCAGTACAGAATACTGGACTGCACTGAAAGCCACGTACATTAATACACAGTGCCCTGTTCTTTGCAAACAGCAAGAATATGTACATGCAGTGTCTGTTTCAACCCAACAAAAGGGTAACTGCCATTCTGTGGTTCATTTCTCAGGGCAATGCCTTCAGCAGAGTCAAGGAACCATGTTTTAAAATTTATGCAAAGCTTGGCACATAACTGTTAGTCTTCATCTAACTGGTGCACTGTCCATGGCAGCACCTCCATCAGAGTCCATTTGCTGACCAAGCAGCACTGACATCTCATACAAGATAAATATTGTTTTCCCTTTCCTTTGTATTTCTTGTAAATTGCCCTGAAGAATGCAGTGAAAAGCTTCAAGAAAATATGCCTTGTTTCAGCTTTACCTCTGTCCCGTTGAGATCCCTTATCTTCTTCACAACTTGCTTTGGACCTAACATGGCACAACCAGAAAATGCAGCAACAAGGTAAACAGCCTTTTCTCCAAGTTACTGAGAAAAAGTGCAAATAGCTGATGCCTAAGCACTAACTCTATTCATGACAGTTTGTCAACCTGAAAACAAGAATGTATTTTCTGTCGGTTAGTGACTCCTTTGTGCTAATATATCATACCCAGCATCATGTGGCCACTAGGGGATGTACTGTACCTTCTGCAAAATATCCAGCTCTTCAGGGCTCATATCCCGGTCGATAGATGAGATGCTCTCCATACTGTTCTTTCGACCCATTCCAGCAGCGAAAGGGTTAACAATGATACCTGGAGATGCCTGCAAAGGTACAGAGTGATTTACAACCTGGAAAAAACATCTAACAGGCGGCCGACAGCGCGGCGCTCCCTCGGCCCTCAGGCAGCCGACAGCGCGGCGCTCCCTCGGCCCTCAGGCAGCCGACAGTTAAGAAGTGTAATTTAGACATTAAAGTGGGGAAACTGAAAGATGGGAAACTGATCTGAAGAGAAAAAACAAGATTGCAGTAAGATTAAAAGGAAGGGTCTGAGGAAGGGTCACTGGATCCGAAACGTTAATTCTGATTTCTCTCCACAGATGCTGACAGACCTGTTGAGCTTTTCCAACAATTTCCGTTTTTGTATTAGAAAGGAAGGTGCTCATTTCATGGTAAATGCATCACTGGCCAAACAGCATTTTCTGAAGAAGGGACTAGGCCCGAAACGTCAGCTTTCCTGCTCCTCTGATGCTGCTTGGCCTGCTGTGTTCATCCAGCTCTACACCTTGTTATCTCAGCATTTGCTAGCCATCCCTAACTGGCCAAATAAATATTCTTTTTAAAATAAATAAAGGAGGGGAAATAAACTCAATGAATTTGAGATGGACCTTCAGCTTGGAACGCTGTATGTTTGAAACATGGCTTCAAGAAAGTCAGGATTAGGAAAGAAATTTACCAAATTGTAAGGTCTATGGGGCAAATGGTCAACTGGGTGCGGGGCATGGGATGTTATGTGAGGCAGGGGCAACTGATGTATGGGGAGAGACTGGATCGTTTAAGATTGTATTCATTGGAGTTCACAAGAATGAGATACCGACGATATAAGCAGAAAAAGCAATGAGGTCCTGCAGAGTGAATACTAGGAAGTTAGGCAGAAGGTTAAAAAGCAAGACATCAAGGGTAGTAATCTCTGGATTGCTCCCAGTCCAACATGCTAGTGAGAGGAGGAATAGGAGGATAGGGCAGAGGAGTTGATGCAGGGGGCAGAGATTCAGACTTTTAGGTCCTTGGGATCTCTTCTGGTCAGATGTGATCTGTACAACATGGACAGGTTGCACCTGAACTGGAGGGGGACCAATATCCTGGTGGAGAGATTTGTTAGAGTTACTCGGGAGGGCTTAAACTAGTCTGGCAGTGGGATGGGACCCTCATCAACAGCAGTGAGACAAAAGAGAATGTTGAGTCTAGTCAAGACATTTTAAGAGAGCAAGTTAATTAGATGAAGCAGGCAAGAGTAAGGTGGGGGAATGAGGGAAAACTGATGAATTAAACGGCACTTATTTGAACACAAGAGGTCTGACAGGTAAGGAAATGAACTTAGGGCATGGATAGGTACATAGGGCTGGGATATTATAGCTATTACAGAAACATGGCTGAGGGAGGGACAGGGCTGGCAGCTCAAATGTGCTGGGGTACAGATGCTATAGGAAGGATAGAAGTGAGGAGGGGGCGTTGGGTTAGGGTTAGGGAGAGCATCACGACAGTACTGAGAGGGGGTATTCCTGGGAGATCATTCACTAGGTATCCATGGATGGATCCGAGAAATAAGAAGGGAGTGACCACTTTAATGGGATTGAACTATAAGCCCCCAAAAGCCAGTAGGAAATTGAGGAACAAATATGTAAGGAGATCACAGATGGTTGCAAGAATAACAGGGTTGTAATAGTAGGGGATATTTCCTAACATCGACTGGGACTGCCAGTGTTAAGGAATTTGTTAAGTGTGTTCAGGATACCTTTCTCAATCAATTTGTAGATGGCTCAACTAGAGAAGGGGCAAAACTCCTCTTGGGAAGTAAGGCAGGGCAAGCGACTGAGGTGTTAGTGGGAAAGCACTCTGGGACCAGTGACTATATATTTTTAGTAAGTTTTAAAATAGCTATGTAAAAGGATATATCTGGTCTACAAGGTAAAGTTCTAAATTGGGGAAAGGGCAATTTTGATGGTATTAGATAGGAACTTCCAAAAGTAGATTGGGGGAGGCTGTTCACAGGTAAAGGGATATCTGGCAAGTGGGAGTCAGAGCCATTGTCAGAGTCGTACAGCACGGAAACAGACCCGTCGGTCCAACTCGTCCATGCTGACCAGACATCCCAAATCAATCTAATCCCATTTGCCAGCATTTGGCCCGTATCCCTCTAAGCCCTTCCTCTTCATATACTCCTCCAGATGCCTTTTAAATGCTATAATTGTACCTGTCTCCATCTCTTCCTCTGGCAGCTCATACCATACATGCATCTTCCTCTGCGTGAAAAAGATGCCCCTCAGGACCTTTTGTATCTTTCCCCTCTCACCTTAAACTTATGCCATCCAGTTCTGGACTCCCCACCCAAGGGATAAGACCTTGGCTATTCACACCCCTGATTATAAATTGAGATACAAATATCTCAGCAAGGCCTTTCAGAAGCGAGATAAAGAGCATTCAGGGAGAGCATGTTCCTGTTTTTGTGAAGTGCAAGGCTGGCAGGAGTAGGGAACACTACATGACTAGAGATACTGAGGTTCACATCATTAAATGAAGGCATATTTCAGAATTAGGCAGCTGGGATCAAGTGAATCCATTGAGGAATATAGGAGGATGTCGGAGTCCACTCGAGAGAGAAATCAGGAGGACACAAAGGAGACATGAGATAGCTTTACCAGATAAAGTAAAGGAGTATCCAGAGAGACACTACAAGTATATTGAGGGCAAAAAAAGTGCGAGTGAGAGAATACGGCCCTTTAAAGCTCAACAAGGTGGTCTGTGTGAAGCCACAGGGGATGGATGGGATCCTAAGCAAATTCTTCTTAAAGGTATTTACTGTGGAGATAAACATGGAAGCTAGGGAACTCGGGGGAGTAAATAGTGATGGCTTGATCAATCTGCATTATAAAGTATGAGGTGCTGAAGGACTTAAAGTGCATAAAGGTAGATAAACCCCCAGGAGCTGATGAACTGCATCCCAGGACATTGCAGGAGACTAGGGAAGAAATTGCAGGGCCCCTAGCGGAGATATTTGTATCACTGACAGCCAGGGTTGAGGTGCCAGAAGACAGAGGGTGGCTATTGTTATTCCTTTATTTAAGAAAGGTGGTAAAGAAATGCCAGGGAACTGGAGACTGGTGAGACTGATGTCAGTGGTGGGCAAGTTGTCGGAGGGGAGTCTGAGGGACAGGGTTTACATGCATCTGGAAAGGTAAGGACTGAGTGGGTATCGTCAATATGACTGTCGTGGGAAATTGCATCTCACAAACTTGGAGTGTTTTGAAGAGGTGGCCAAGACGACAGATGAGGATGGTGCATTTGGCGTTGTCTACATGGACGCTAGCAAGGCCTTCGATAAGGCTCTGCATGGTAGATTGACTAGTAAGGTTAGATCCAGGGAGAGCGAGCCAATTGAATACAAAATTGGCTTGACGGTAGAGACAGAGGGTGGTGGTAGAGGATCATTGTTCAGATTGGAGGCCTGTGGCCAGCAGTGTGCCGCAAGGATCGGTGTTGGATCCACTGTTGTTCATCATTTACATAAGCGATTTGGATGAGAATATAGGAAACATGGTTAGTAAGTTTGCGGATAACACCAAAATTGGGGGACTCGTAGACAGTGAAGAAGGTTATCTAAGAGTACAATGAGATCTTGTTCAGCTGGGCATGTGGGCTGAGGAATGAGAGATAGAATTTAATTTAGGTAAATGTCAGGTGTTGCATTTTGGTAAGACAAACCAGGGCAGGACTTATACTGTGAATGGTAGGGCCCTGGGGAGTGTTATCGAACAGAGAGACCTAGGGGTTCACGTACATAGTTTCTTGCAAGTGGAAGCAAAAACAGAAATTGCTGGAAAAACTCAGCTGGTCTGGCAGCATCTATGCAGAGAAATCAGAGTTAATGTTCCAGGTTCAGTGACCCTTCCTGCTGAGCTTTTCCAACAATTTCTGTTTTTGTTTCCGATTTCCAGCATCCGCAGTTCTTTCGGTTTTCCTTGACAGTGGCATCACAGGTAGATATGATGGTGATGGAAGTGTTTGGTATGCTTGCCTTCATTGGCCAAAGTGTTGAGTACAGGAGTTGGGATGTCATGTTACAGCTGTACAATACATTGGAAAGGCCACATCTGGAGTACTACGTACAATTCTGGTTGCCCTGCTATAGGAAGAATATTGTTAAACTGGAAAGGGTCCAAAAAAGATTTACAAGGATGTTACCAAATCTGGAGGATTTGAGTTATAAGGAGAGGCTGGATAGGCTGAGGCTTTCTTTTCCTTGGCGTGTAGGAGGCTGAGGGGTGACCGTATCGAGGTTTATAAAATCATGAGGGGCACTGATAGGGTGAATAGACAAGGTCTTTTTCCCAGGGTAGGGGAGTCCAAATTGGTTTAAGGTGAGAAGGGAAAGATTTAAAAGGGACCTGAGGGGTAACTTTTTCATGCAGAGGGTGGTGCGGGTATGGAACGAGCTACCAGAGGAAGTGGTACAGGTGGGTTCAGTTACAACATTTAAAGGACATTTGGATAAGTATATGGATATGAGAGCTTTAGAGGGATATGGGTCAAACATAAGCAAATGGGTCTAGTTCAGTTTAGGAAACCTGTTTGGTATAGATGAGTTGTCCGAAGAGCCTGTTTCCTTGCTACATATTTCTGACTCTGAGATGAGTGGTTTCAATGGAGATTTCGCCTTGCATATCGATTGGGATAAGCAGACTACTATATTTCAGAAGAGCTAGTAAGTTTCTTCAAAGTATCTGGGACTGTTTTGTGCAAACTTATCTTACAATAAAGGGAATGCTACATTAGACCTAGCAATGAACCAGATTTAATGAACAACCTCAGTGTAAATTGAAACATTTATCTAATACTGATGATAATACAGTCAAACTCGGTGTAATGTTTGATAAGTGAATAAAATTCCCTCTTACGCTGAGGCCGATTTCCATGGGTTGAGACAAAGAGCTCACGTTAAAATGAGAAAATCTATTAACTGGTAAAAGGTCCAAAGAGCTTCGCACTGTACAAAATCTCAACTGGATGGCCAATAATTATTTATAATTCACCAAGCCTGACTCCCAAGAAGAAAACCAGCACATTATCTCCAACAGTGACTGCCTCAACATCTGTAAATCTGTCTCACACAAGGACACCGAAATACCACAAGGAGAAACTAGCCTCTGGAATCTTGGTCCTCACCTCCATGGAGATGGCGGAGGCTGCCCTGGGGTCGAAGCCATCACAGACCAGCATCGTTAAGGTGTCTCCGATTCCTCGCAGAATGCGGACTGCTTCAGTGTGAGTCATTCCCAGCAGGCTGTGGTTGTTAACCTCAAGTATTCTCAGTCCCACATGCAGTCTGCCATCCCGTGCTGCTGCTCCACTAGAACTCACCTACAAGGCACACAGAAATCCATCAGCAATAACTGGCTGCCTTGGCACTGATTGTCAGCACAGTAAGAGTTGGTTCTCACTCTGACCTTGTGCTCTAACGCCAGGAAAGGCTTGTTGGAACATGGTACCATCAACACTGCATAGCTCTCACCACTGCACCATCCTTTCAGAAACACAGATCAGAAAATAAGAACTAGGAGCAGGAGTAGGCCACCCGGCCCTTCGAGCCTGCTCCGCCATTTAATAAGATCATGGTTAATCTTTTCATGGACTCAGATCCACTTACCCGCGTTCTCACCGTATCCCTTAATTCCTTTACTGTTCAAAAAAAATCTACCTTATCTTTAAAAACGTTTACTGAAGGAGAGTCAACTACTTCACTGGGTAAGGAATTCCATAGATTAACAACCCTCTGGGTGAAGAAATTCCTTCTCAGTTCAGTCCTAAATCTGCTCCCTCTAATCTTGAGGCTATGCCCTCTTGTCCTAGCTTCACCTGCCAGTGGAAACATCCTCTCTACTTCTATCTTATCTATTCCCTTCATCATTTTATATGTTTCTAGAAGATCCCCCCTCAATCTTCTGAATTCCAATGAATATAATCCCAATCTACTCAGTCTCTCCTTATAAGCCAACCCCCTCAACTCCGGAATCAATCTAGTGAACCTCCTTTGCACCCCCTCCAGTGCCAGTACATCCTTTCTCAAGTAAGGAGACCAAAACTGCATACAGTACTCCAGGTGTGGCCTCATCAGCACCTTGTACAGCTGCAACATAACCTCTCTGCTTTTAATCTCAATCCCTTTAGCAATGAAGGATAAAATTCCATTTGCCTTCCTAATTACTTGTTGTACCTGCAGACCTACCTTCTGTGATTCATGCACAAGGACACCCAGGTCCCTCTGCATAGCACCATGCTGCAACTTTTTACCATTCAAGTAATAATCCTTTTTACTATCACTCCTACCAAAACGTATGACTTCACATTTATTTACGTTGTATTCCATCTGCCAGACCTTTGCCCACTCACTCAATGTATCTATGTTCCTCTGCAAAGTTTCACAGTCCTCTGCACACTTTGCTCTGCCACTCATCTTAGTGTCATCTGCAAACTTTGACACCCTACACGTGGTCCCCAACTCCAAATCATCTATATAAATTGTAAATAATTGCGGTCCCAACACTGATCCCTGAGGCACACCACTAGTCACTGACTGCCAGCTAGAATAGCACTCATTTATTCCCACTCTTTGCTTCCTGTTAGTCAACCAATCCTCTATCCATGCTAATACTTTACCCTTAATGCCATGCATCCTCATCTTATGCAGTAGCCTCTTGTGCAGCATCTTGTCGAAGGCCTTTTGGAAATCTAGGTACACCACATCCACTGGGTCCCCATTGTCCACCTTGCTCGTAATGTCTTCATAGAATTCCAAAAGATTTGTCAAGCATGACCTGCCCTTCATGAACCCATGCTGCGTCTGCCCAACGGGACAATTTCTATCAAGATGCCTTACTATTTCTTCCATGATAATAGACTCAAGCATCTTCCCCACTACAGAGCTTAAGCTAACCGGTCTATAATTCCCCATCTTTTGTCTACTTCCCTTTTTAAACAGTGGTGTCACATTTGCTGTTTTCCAATCTGCTAGGACTGCCCCAGAGTCCAGCGAATTTTGGAAAATTACTGCCAGTGCACCTGCTATTTCTCCCACCATCTCTTTTAGTACCCTGGGATGCATTCCATCAGGGCCAGGAGACTTATCAATCCTTAGCTCCATTAGCTTGCCCAACACTACCTCTTCCGTAATAATGATTGTTTCCAGGTCCTCACCTACCTTCGTCTCTTTGTCAATTATTGGCATGTTATTAGTGTCCTCCACAGTGAAGACCGATACAAAATACATGTTCAATGCCTCGGCCATTTCATCATATCCCATAACTAAATTCCCCTTCTCATCCTCTAAAGGGCCAATGTTTACTTTAGCCACTCTATCGTTTTAGATATTTATAGAAACTTTTGCTATCTGTCTTTATATTCTGTGCTAGTTTTTTCTCATGTTCCATCTTACTTTTTTTTATAGCTCTTTTTGTGGCTTTCTGTTGACCTTTAAAGTTTTCCCAATCTTCTAGTTTCATGCTGTTTTTGGCCACTTTGTATGCCTTCTCTTTCAATTTGATAGCCTCCCTTATTTCTTTAGACACCCATGGCAGATTACCCCTTTTCTTACAGTCCTTCCTTTTCACTGGAATATACTTTTGCTGAGCACTTTGAAAAATTGCTTTGAAAGTCCTCCACTGCTCGTCAACTGTCCCACCATAAAATCTTTGTTTCCAGTCTACTTTAGCCAAGTCCTCCCTCATTCTATTGTAGTTCCCCTTGTTCAAGCACAGGAGCTTGTTATTGGATTTTATCTTCACACTCTCCATCTGTATTCTAAATTCAACCATACTGTGATCACTCCTTCCAAGGGGATCCCTAACTATGAGGTCATTAATTATTCCTGTCTCATTACACAGGACCAGATCTTGGATAGCTTGCTCCCTCGTCGGTTCCATTACATACTGTTCAAGAAAACTATCACGGATACACTCAACGAACTCCTCCTCAAGGCTACCCTGACTGAGCTGGTTCGACCAATCTACATGTAGATTAAAATCCCCCATGATAATTGCCATACCATTTTTACAGGCATTAGTTATTTCTTTGTTTATTGCCCGCCCCAATGTGATGTTATTATTTGGTGGCCTATAGACTACGCCTATCAGTGACTTTTTCCTCTTAGAATTTCTAATTTCCACCCAAATGGATTCAACCTCATTCTCCATAGAATCTATATCATCTCTCAGCACCACCCTGATGTCGTCCTTGAATATCAGAGCTACACCACCTCCCTTACCTTCCTGTCTGTCCTTCCGAATAGTCTGGTACCCTTGGATATTTAACTCCCAGTCGTGACCATCCTGTAACCATGTCTCCGTAATGGCTACCAAATCATATTCATTCGCAATGATTTGTGTCGTTAACTCATCAACCTTGTTACGAATGCTACAAGCATTCGGGTAAAGTGCCTTTATGCTAGCTTTCTTACCCTCATGATTTCCAACATCTCTAATAATATCTCCTGAGTTATCCTTCCTTTCTGCTTCTCTCATAGTCTGCCTTGAACTTAAACCCTCCTGCACACATGCTAACCTGCTGCTTACCTTTTTATTTACCATCATACTCCCTGTCGTTTTCCCTTTCCCTTCCCCCCAACTCACTAGTTTAAAGTCCTAGATCTGTTAAATTGAAAAAGCTGTTCCCACTTGGACAAAAGGCACAGATTTAAGGTCCTAAACTGGATTAGTCACTCAATTGGATAGTGGAATAAGAGGATTGCATTATGATGAGAGGTTGAGTAAATTGGGTCTATGTTCTCTGCAGATTAGAGAAACGAGAGCTGATCTCATTCAAACACACAAGATTCTGAAGGTAGACACTGAGGCTGAACAATCTAAAACACAGGGCACTGCCCCAGGGTAAAGGGGCAGGTCATTGAGGAATGAAATAAGGAGAAATTACTTCACTCAGAGGGTTGGGTATCTTTACAATTCTCTGTCCCACAGGGTTGTGGGCTCTCTATCAGTGAATATATTTAAGGCTGTTGGGGGGTGTGGGTGAAGACAGATTTTTGTTCTCTCGGGAAACCGAGGATACAGGGAGTGGGTGAGAAAGTGGAGGTGAAACACAAGGTCAATACAAGCCACCACTGGATGAGGTTGTTGACTTGCTCGCCGAGCTGCCTGGTTATAGTACAGACGTTTCATCACCATGCTAGGTAATATCATCAGTGCAGCCTCCAATGAAGCCATGTTGTCAACTCCACTTGGAATTTATATGATCCAGTCTGTTGAGGTGTTTTGTGTTATTTCCAGTTCTTTTTTGCATGGGTTTGTATATGGGGTCTAATTCAACATGTTTATTGATTGCATTATGGGTGGAGAAGCAGGCCTCTAGGAATTCCCGTGCATCTCCGTGGTTGGCTTGAGCTGGGATGGTCACGTTGTCCCAGTTAAATTGATGGCCTTCATTATCCAAGTGCACTGACATGAGGGAAAGTTCAAAAAAGGGAAAGACACGACTTGCAAAAAAAAAAATAGCCAGAAACGGCACAAAACACCTCAACAGACCGGATCACATAAAATACCAAGCACAGCAGAAACATCTGTACAATAACCAGGTAGCTCGGTGAGAAAGCCAACAACCTCAACCACAACCCGAGCTACAAATCTTCGCAAGAACCTTAAACACCACTGGATTGGGTGGCACAGCAGGCTCAATGGGCCGAATGGTCTCATCCTGTTTTTTCCTTGTCGTATTGGCACATGGTTCCTAATGGAGTTAGTGATACCATCAAACGTTTCCTGCTCCAGTCTAGCCTAGGGTCAGCTTACTGGTTGAGATAATACCTTTGAGATAAAGATTCCCTCATCTGTCGAATCAAAAGGATTTCCAGCATGGCCTTTGGCTCCTCCTCGGATACTGATCCCCAACTTCTCTCCAGGCAGCTTCTCAATCCGGATCTCCTGTTGTACACGGGTATGAGCAGGCAAACACAATCAGACAGCTATTTCACATCTCTGTTCCACTCACTGTATATTGACAGGATCCCAGAACCACACAGCCACCAACCCACAGACCCAGACTGCCCAGTACCACCCAGTACCCTCTAGACCCCCAGCCAGACCTACACCCCACAACCAGGCATGCCTCCCCCCTGCCCAATCCCATCCTCCCCCTCTCCTGCCCAGTCCCCACCCCTCCCAGACCATCCTCACCCACCCCTCAGACCATCCTGACATGACCACACCCCACAGACCCCGACCACCCTCATGCACTACCACTCCCCACACCATTCAGTCCCCCAGTGCACTCTCACCACTTACAGCCGTCCCAGCCCTACTCTCTCCTAAAACTCCACCTGTTTCATTGCAGAGCTCCTCTCAAGATGTGCAGCTCTTGTAAAGAACCTCTCTGCTGCTAAATAACTTCAGGGAAAGGAATTGTAAACTGAACAGAATGCTTGACCACTCAGTGATCCAATCCTGGTATAGTTACTGTTTATCATCACTCAGTCAGTGACCCTGTAACTCAAGAGCTAGTGGAATTACTGCCCATTGTTTCTCTGTCAATAACAAACAAACAAACCAATCAGGAGCAGGAGTAGGCCATTCTGCCTCTGAAACTGCTCCCTTCTGGTTGTGATTAGATTTCCACATTCCCATCCAACTTCAATGTCAAAGAACCAAGAACAGTACAGCACAGGAACAGGCCCTTGTGTCCAAGTCTGCGGTGACACATTTTGCCCTTCCATACTAAAACTGTCTTCACTTACAGGATCCATATCCCACTGTTCCCCTCCTATTTGTGTATTTGTCCAGGTGCTTCTTGAACGTGGCGATTGTGTCTGCTTCCCCACTTCCTCTGGCAGCGTGTTCCAGGCACTTACCACCCTTTGTGAGAAAAATGTGCCTCACACATCTTTTCTAAACTTTCCCCCACCTTGAACCTGTGTCCCTTAGTAACTGACCTCTCCACCCTGGGAAGAAGCCTCATACTTTCCACTCTATCCATGCCATTCACAATCTTATAAACTTCTATCAGGTTCCCCCTCAACCTCCACTTCATCTGCAAGGATACTGCAAAGGCTACACGCCCTGACAAAATTCTGGCAATAGTAGTGAAGACTTGTGCTCCAGAACTTGCTGCTCCCCTGACCAAGCCCTTCAAGTACAGTTACAACACTGGCATCTACCCAACAATGTTGAAAATTGCCCAGTTATGTCCTGTACAGGACAACTCCCTCCTGACTGTATAACCACTGTGCTGCCAGCTCCGCAGAGCCTATCCTGCCGGTGGGACAGGACATATCCAGAGATGGTGATGCTAGTGTCTGGGGTTCTGTGAGGATGGCTATGTTGCTGTTGCTTGACTAGTCTGAGAGACAGCCCTCCCAATGTTGGTACAAACTCCCAGACAATACTATGGAGGAGTTTGTAGGGTCAACAGGGCTGGCGGTCTACCCAGCTGTTTCTTTCAAACTTTGCAGGGGGTGATATGACTAAACAGTTGTTTGGACATTCTAGAAACAGTGAGAGTTAATCTTATTGCTGTGGGTCTGAAGTCACACTTAGCCCAGATATCAGATGTGAACGGAAGACTTCCTTCCCTAAAGGATGCTCGTGAATCAGATGGGGTTTTACAATAATCAACAATGGTTTCATGGTCATAAAGCTCCGACTTCTAGAATTTTGATCATACAGCATTACCTGGGTCTCTGGATTACCTAGTCCTGTGACAATACCATTACCTCATTAAATCTTCATCTTGCATCCAGCTCCTTCAGATAGAAAATGAGTCAGGTGGCAATGGGGTGCCCATTCACACTCTGGTATCTGTTTTACACCCTTTCTTGTCTATTTAGTTGCTGCATCATACAATTACGTCAATATGAATGGAGTAAACTCACTAATAATTATGCAAAAATATTCCAGTGCCTACCTTAGGTCTCCGCAGCTCCTGAACTCAAAATCTAATGGAATTACCAGAGAGTTTACTTTTGGAATGTTACTTGAGCAACAAGTATTTGCCAGGTGAACAGGGATAATACCTGCAGTGCAACATTTCACAAAGGAATACCTACACAGCCAGAGCTGATGTCTATAAGATGTACTGCATTAACTCACAAAGGCCTGACTGACAGCACCTTCCAGATACACAATCACTTCCATCTAGAAGGACAAGGACAGCGGATACATGGGAACACCACCATCTTCAACTTCCCCTCCAAGTCATTGCCCATCCTGACTTGGAAATCTTTCGCCATTCAAAATCCTGGAATTCCCTCCCCAAGGGCATTGTGGGTTAACCTACAGCACACTGACTGCAGCGGTTCAAGAAGGCAGCTCACCCACTGCCTTGTTCAGCATAACAAATGCTGGCTCAGCCAGAAACACCCATGCTCCATAAAGGAATTAAGCAAACTCCTAGTCACCATAAGTGAATCAGGACAGTTAGCTGACTGATCTCAGGTAGCACACAGCAGGCTCAGGAGATGTGACACTGAGAATTGGCTCTGAGCCCACTCCTTGATTGAACATATTTATCCATCAGGGTGAAGCTGCAAGAGATTGATATCCTCTCCTGACTGACCTGCATCCCAGGTGGAGCCGGATCCCTGCGTACCAACATCCGGATCTCATGCTGGTTCGACAGCAGGGCCATCACTGCCTCTTGATGGGTCGCATGGCGAAGATCGATGCCATTCACTTCCAGAATACGGTCACCAACCCGGAGCCCAGTACGAGCTGCCAGCCCATCGCCAATAACCTGCATTACCAACAGCAAGGTACTGAAAGGTTAGTGGAATAGGCAGTTAGACAGAATCGTCACATCTACCATGATCTAATTAAATGACAGAGCAGGCTTAAGGGGTTTAATGTGCAAGTACCTATGTCAGACAAGACTCATCACAGACCAACGAGCCAGGTAAGGCTCTTCTAAGGCTCTTGACCTCTTGTAAACACATTCCCAGGGGGCTGACCAGCACAATTGGCTGGACAGCTGATCTGCGATGCAGAGTAACACCAAGAATGTCACTCAATTACCAGAGAAGTCCCATCTACTTGACCTTGCCCATCACCTGAGGTACGGTGACCCTCAAGTTAAACCACCCACTAACTGTCCCTATCTAATGAGTGTACAGTCCTGTGGTCGTCTGGGAGGATAGTAACATCATTTATCACATTAAAGTATGCCACCTCACTCTGAACAATCCAAAACTAAGATAGGCCAGTATCAAGTCTCACATTTCCCACTGTCCTGCTCCCAACACAACCCAATATCAAACGACACAAATCCCACTGTTCCATTCTGTTTGCAGGGTCCAGTATCAATCCCCAAACTATCCCCACTCTCTCCCCATAGTCCTGTATCAATCCCCAAACTAATCCCACTGCCCCGCTCTCTCCCTACAGCCCTGTATCAATCCCCAAACTAATCCCACTGCTTCACACCATCCCCATAGCCCTGTATCAATCCCCAAACAAATCCCACTGCTTCACATCGTCCCCATAGCCCTGTATCAATCCCCAAACAAATCCCACAGGCCTATACAAAGCATTTGTCTTCTTATTTTTGTATGGTATACTGTGTGCTGAGAGGGGAAAGAATTGATTTAAAACGTGTGCTTTAAAGGATTATTGCCTGTTCTGAAAAGCATGTCACCTGACCGTCATAGCAAGCAACATGGGAACAGTTGGTTGAATTGGCAGTAACTTTAGTGGTTGAAGATGAGCAGGAGCCAAGGGGTCATATACAGAAACACTGGCATGGCAACAAGTTGATTGGTCTATGGCCCAGTGACCAGCTATTGATGACAAAGACCTTCCGTGTGCTAAAAACTGTGTCATAGGTTCTGAGGGAATTGAACAGCTTGAAGCTGGGAAGAAGGGGAGAACGAAGTGTTTTATCTCCACCAGCACAGGAGCTGTCCCCCTGTTCTCTGCAGTCAAAAACTATTTTAAACATGAAGAAAACACATTTATCTTTCCATCAGCAACTGTTGTAAGCTTTGACTTTTCACTGATAAGTCAGGAGACCTTTTTCTAAGTAAACCACCTATCCTGTCTCTCTTGCAAATCAGTGGAAGCATCTCCTGAAAAGTAACTGAAAAGCAATGTGGCAATCAGCATAAGAATCATCTCAATGACCTGTGGTTAGAAACCCCAAATGCCTTTCTAATTTTCTTCTTCCAACAGCTATTTTTCCCCTGTCTGCATGTGTGCAAGGGGGCGTTTATAAAGGGATTTGAGTTTTAATTTATAGGGTCATGTCACTCGGGATATGTTACGGAAGATCCTGTTAGAGGCCAACCGTCCAGAGAAATTCTATTCAACATCCTCCATCTCCTCCACGAGATTTTGGTGACTGTCCTCACCAATGGTAATATGACAGAATCCTTCGAGGTCAAGGTAGGGGTAAGCAGGGAAAGAACATAGAACATTACAGAGCAGTACAGGCCCTTCGGCCCTCGATGTTGCGCCGACCTGTGAAACC